ACAGATACAAAAACACTAGGTGATTTCTTCCCATTCAATGTTGGCTGGTAGGACATAGTGGAGGTGCGTGCAAGCTGGTAAGGACACCAGCTGTATTAAAAATAAAATATTGAGAAGAAATCTAATTTGTCTTAAAAAAGATCAGTTATTTAATATTGGAATGATTTTCACCTGAATTGAGACAGAGTAGATACAGGATTAATAAACTAATTTGTTATTGAAGTGTAAAAAATTGGTATTGGATTTAATGGGATCAATCAAACATGTTTAATTTACTCTGTGATGCCAACATTTGTATTTTCTGGTGGGCAGAATTTAGTTGTTAATCTTGTCTCCCATACTTGTATCTAATGTGGTTCTGATAAAGCCTCTAGTTTTTTCACGGGAAATTTCATTTTCCTTGGAATTGTCCAAGAAGTCAAATTACTAAGTATTGGAATGAAATGGCGAGAATAGAGCAGAATAAATATAAAGGATTTATATAGCTGAGTACAGCTAGTTTAGGATTAAGTGATGGAGCTGACATGAAAAAAAATTAGAGTTGTGTGTTCAAAGAGAGAAAGTAGTATGCAATACTACTAGAGCCATCCATTAGTCACTTAAAATGTCTTTTCCGGTTGATATTTGATAAGATGATTGGCTACCCTACAATTTGATAATTACAAGTAGTAGTAAAATTAAATCAAAGCAACTTCGTTAAACATACGGTGTAGCTATTATTTCTAGCAGCTGATACCGAGCAATTTCTTACATCCTTTTTTTTTATAGATTAATAATTAGGTAGATAGAATTTCATATTTTTGCTAAAGTTATTGTTTACAATAATAGTTGCTATGTATTTATTTGGTCAGTTTAATTAGATATATTTAAAGGCTATCTAACATGTTATTGGTTTGTCACAGTAGATATGTATTTGAAATGATAAATTGTTGTATTCACAGAAACAATTTACTCTCGACCAACTCATTTTTTCTACTTTTTACTTTCTTTCGAGTATTATTGACTTGACATTTGTTTCCACGGCAGGTAGTAGCCCACCTCCAAAACCCTGGGAACGAGCTGGTTCTTCTTCAGGCCCTGCACCTTTTAAGCCCCCCTCTGCTGGTAGCACGAGTGACGTAGTAGAGGCATCTGGAACAGCCAGGCCTGGTGAGATTGTTTCAACTGCTAATAGGAATACAGCTGTTAATAATAGCACACTTGCAAGGCCTGTACCTACTCGACCTTGGGAGCAGCAGCAAACTTACGGTAGCTCATACGGAGGTATGAGATGTTTAGTTAATTTTCCCTCTTGCTCTTTTTTGTGCCTGTTCTGTTTTATCAGCGACAACCTTTTTTTTTAAAAAAAATCCTAATATCCATTCTCCTCCATTTGCAGCCTTTGGAATCGCTCAGCAATAACTAGTCTTAACAATAAACAGAGTTCTCTACATCTACTTACGTACCGAATCACACAAGGCAAAAGGCCACAAATCAGATGTATCATTTCACCAAAAATTGGTAAAACAACACAGAAGCCATGAACAAACAGCTAGATCTTAACAAGTTTTTTTAGAAAAATTAAGAACAGTAATAAGCTAAAACCGAAAAGATATGAGTAATTAACGTAAAATTGGGAGAAAATAAACTTACTTCGCCCCATCGCTAATTCTGTGTGTGGAATTGTTCGGCGGCGGCTTGAGAAAGAAGAAATTATAAGAAAACCTTAATTTAACGTTCTTTAATAGATGAATGAATTGATTGGGCCGCCTTATATGGGCTTACGTCTTGGCATGCGTCAGTAGAAGGTCGGTGGGCCGATTGCATTCAAACCTAAACTTGACCCGTTAACCACATACTTTTTTGAGAAAATTTTACATATAGCAAATAAAAAATTGCTAATTGTATGCTATAGCAAACTTTGTAAAATTACAGTCCGTAGCAAAATTAAAGTTTGCTATGGACTTGTCTTTCTGTATATTCGCTTGTCATTTTTTTTTTTTATACATTTTGATAGTTTAAGAAAGAAAAGGGCGTTAATTTCGGTTAGAAAAAAAAGGAAAAAAATCACTGAAGTCATGCACGTTCTGTTCCATTCGAATTCCCTTCCTTCTTCATCGTCTTCTACAGTAAGAACTCCATTGTAACTCAATTCAAAAAATTGATCAAGCAATTGATGGTACTACACAAACAATCGAGATCATTAGACTGTAGAGATAGCAATAGGAGGTAATTTCATGACGAAAACATACTCTGATTTTGCTTTTTTAGGTCGAAGATGGTGTTCAACATGTATTCAAAATCAGATTTCCTTTTTAACTATCATCAATTTAAGTTGAATGTATATTGAGAGGTGTATATTTTGTTCGAAATAGAGTTTAACACTTATCATTTGTATAGTTAATTTGTAATCTAGTAAAGTAATCGAGTGGAACATATAGAAATACTGCCTTCAGGCCGTGACACAAAATTGTACAAAGAATATTAAAAAATTGCACATATAGTAAAATTTAGTAGCTCAGAATCAACTCACTAAATCATGGAATTAGCTATCAAAAACTGTTTAAAAAATTGAACAAAAAAAAAATAAAGAAGCAAGATCTGCCTAATTCAAGTGGATAGATATATATACAATACTTCCTTCAGCTCATAACACAATTTTGTATATGTAAATATTAATATTATAAAATTGCACAAACAATTAACTTTACTAGCTCTTAATCCACTGACTCTACATCCCGAATTAGCCACTAAGACGTATCCAAAAACTAATAAATTGTTAATAGCAAAAAACAACATAGATTTGCTTCAATTTCTTAAATAAAATCATACATGCTAGTGGAAATCCATATACAAATTCTGCCTTCAGCTCATGACACAAAATTGTACATGTAAAACTAATGTTTAAAAAATTGCACATATAGTAAAACTTAGTAGCTCAGAATCAACTCACTCTAAATCCTGGAATTAGATATCCAAAACTGTTTAAAAAATTCAAAAAAGCAAAAGAAAAGAAGAAGCTAGAGCTGCCTAATTCAAGTGGATAGATATATACAAATACTTCCTTCAGCTCATCAAACAATTTTGTATATGTAAAAATTAGTATTAAAAAATTGCACATACAATTAACTTTACTAGCTCTTAATCCACCGACTGTAAATCCCGAATTTGCAGCTAAAACTAATTAATTGCTAATAGCCAAAAAACCTAGATCTGCTTCATTCCATAAATAAAACCATACATTCAAGTGGACATCCATATACAAATTCTGCCTTCAGCTCATAACACAATACTGTATATGTAAAACTACTACTAAAAATTGCACATATAGTAAAATTTAGTAGCTCAGAATCAACTCACTCAAAATCATGGAATTAGCTATCCAAAACTGTCTAAAAAAAAACTAGATCTGTGAATTTTGAAGTACCTGAAAGCGATGAAACTGGTTAAAGAGGTGGATTTGCTTGAGTTGAAATTGAAGGAGACGGAGATTGCAGAGGTGGAAAAGGATATTTTGAGCCAATAGCAGAGTAGTTTGGAAGAAATGGAAGAAGAGAAGTATAAAATGGGAAATTGGAGTGTTATAAAGGAAGTGGGTGCTTAGTTAATACATTTGAATAAATTATTAGATATTACAAACAAATATTAGTGTTTATGCAAAGCAATGGGTGCTTAAGCACCCATAATTCATAACATACATTCGCCATTGGCGTTCTACATGTATTATGTCATTTAGGATATGTGTGTCTACTTGTTTAATTTTATACAAGTTAAAGTGTTTACTTGTGCACACTCAAAGTTGAAGTACATAGTTATTCATTGAAACCAAGTTAAGGGTTATGTTTATGTACTATGTCTTCTAATTTAGCCAACTTTTGTTTATATAAATCTTGTGTAAGCAATTAAGCTTTGTCATTATTCAATCTAATTGCGGCCTAACTTATGTTCATGTGATTCTAAAGTTAGGAGGATTTTTTAATAGTGTGATAGTATACTCAAAATGTTGTAAATTGTTTGATTTATCACCATTACAAATAAGATGTTTGATATTGAGTTAAATCTGATATATCTTTTCTTTCACATATCATTACTTAATTTAATCATGTGTTTAATCCAATTTTTAAACTCATAACTATATTATGCTATAAAGTACCAATATCACCTATGAATAAAAAAATTCGTACGTGGGAAAAGTTTCACCAATTATTGTCTTTATTATCATGGAAGACAATGAACTAGTCCTTAATATCTAAAAATTATGTTTAATCTAAAATTTGTAAATTTAAATTTTTGAAAACTAAGATCACTAGTACGTCTAATTAAGTGAGATAATTTTCAACTACCTAATTAATCCTCTATTCTAACTATTATCCCCATAATTTTTTTAATCTAAAATCATATCTTTGATAAGCGTTCAAATGCAAGTGCATCACATAATAAACTTGATTCATTAGTTGACTGTGTCTCACAATAAATCTAGTTGTTGACTGATTAGTGCTTAATTGATGATGAGCTAACATAGTTTGTTAGGATTCAATTAGAAGATATTTGTAAATTGAGCACGAGGTTTATTTTAAATGTTACACACAAAATATTGATCAATACAATTTCTTTACTCTTTTTTCTTAGCTCAAGTTTATAAATGCAGTTATGGATTTTGTGAGCTCATAATTTCTTAGTAAGCTATAAAGTTATATCATATCTTATCTAATCATCTCTCTTTGATATTTTTCTTCTACTTTCTTACTAATTATTTATTTTCCCTTAAAAGGGACAAAATGGAATCTTTATTCTCCAACCACAAGGAAGAAAAAAATGAAAATGCAGAGACCCTATTCTCTTTCGGTGGAAAATGGAATCTTGTAGGACCCTATTTCCAAGTTATATTATGGAGAGAAAGGTAGAGTCGGCTAATGGACATTGGGTAGATTTTTATAGTCAATTATTTATAAATTATAAATGTTATTTTAATTTATAATTTTTTTGCCAGGGAAAATTAGTTCAAAAAAATATAATAGTTAAATTAAAAAGATTTATAGCATCATGATATATTATTCAAATTATAAGAGAGTATGTGATATCATTTTCTCAAACAAAAGCATTTTAATTACATGGACGTTTATTTACCCTCCTAATTTTATTTTACTTGAATTTAATATCATCCAAAAGAATGTCGTGGCAAAAAGAAAGAAACCAAAAAAATCAAAACGCGTAAAAAAAAAATAATTTAAAAATAGTCCTACTAGTATATATAGGACTAGTATCCTTTTTTAGAGTCAAATTATAAAAACTTTGATTAACATTTTTACCATGTACTTTTACATCATATTGATATGCAAAAAGTTACGATTTATAGTACTTTTCGTATAGTTTTTGAATATCTAATTTTTTTTTTGTTTAAATATCAAATTAATGCAATCTAATTTGACGAGAGAAACTTGCTCGGATGGTAAGCACCCCTCACTTCCAACCCGAAGGTTGCGAGTTCGAGTCACCAAGGGAGTAAAAGGGGTGAGAGCTCCTAGGGAGGGTAAAAAAAAAATGCAATCTAATTTTACTTTGAAATTTAGTCAAGTTAACTTTCGAAAAACACAACATGACAAATAAAAGTGGATGGAAGGAGTATAATGAAAATAAAATTATTTTAAAAAGAACCCACCCACAATCACCCCTCCTTCTTCGGCAGATTTAACACTAAAGCAGAAGACTAATAGAACAAACGGTAAGGAAGTTGATCTTCCCATATACAAACTTTTTAACTCCAAATTGCTTTAGGTAGTATTCTTCTTTAAGAAAAGAAGACTTCAAGAGTCGTATTTAACCAAGGGAAAGCATATAGCTGCTGCAATTGAGATCTCTAGCAATAGAACATTCGACAGCAAATGCAGCAGTGGAAAGGGATCAACAAATGGTGTCGGGTGGTCGAACCATCACCCTCACCATGAGAGTAACTTAAAGCTTGAGAAATCATGTGAAACTGTGAATTTGAGTGTTGCACATAAATTCAGCCATATAACACTTTCTGAAACAAATCATCTTACTGAAAAGTTAGAAACAGCCACTAAATATTCAACAACAGTTCAGAACTACAAAAGAAACCATACAGGGCTTACATAGTAGATGTCATAATAAGTATTTGCTTAGCCTTTAACAACAATCACTTGTAGAATTCAAAGTCAGTGTCAGGCTTCTTCACGTTCGACCTGTAACCCTTTTCAAAGTCCTTTGGAAGGATGACATATCGATTCTTGCGCACTGCATGCATACCAGCTTCTTGACAGATGGCCGTAATCTGCAGATATGTCAATTCATGTTCATTTCACATAAGGTAAGGCCTCAGCATAATAATTAGTGTTGCACAAGTGAAGAAAAAACAGTTGCAGCCAAAACAAAGAACGATTATTGGAACTAGAACCCTGATTTCCACAGTTCTCCCACCAAAAAAATATAGAGACAAGAGACAAACCTCAGCAGCACTGATTTTATCAGGGCGAGAAACATAATCTTCCAAGTCAACCTCATCACCTAAGTTCATCTTAGCCGTGCATACCTGCCATAAAACAATTCAGCGTTAATTTTGTTACATTGTATAAAACAAAACACAGAAAGGCTCTCAGAGAAGCAGAAAGACATTCAAGAATCCATCAAACTGAACTTCTTCCTACAATATTTTCCTCCATTACTTTTTTAGGAGAGGAGAACAAAGAAGAACACATCATGAGTATAAAGATTATCCAAAACCCACCTGAAAAACGAGCCTTTTTTGACGTCTATCAGGCAACGGAAATTCAATCTTACGATCAAGCCTTCCAGGACGTAAAAGTGCAGGGTCCAGTGTGTCGGCTCTATTGGTTGCCATAATAACTTTCACATTTACTGTTTGGTCAAACCCATCCATCTACAGAATACAAACCGAGGAAAATGTGGCTCGTCAAACAATGCAGGGTCTTGCGTTATTCTGGAACTGCTTTATAACATGAATAGAAGCCTACCTGGTTTAGTAGCTCCATGAGGATACGCTGGACCTCTCTATCAGCTCCAGTCTGAGCATCAAACCTAGCAGTAGCAATTGCATCAACCTCATCAATAAAAATGATTGCTGGAGCATTTTCTTTGGCAAGGCGGAAGACATCACGAACCATTCGTGGACCCTGCAAAAATCAGTGAATAAATGAGAAGATAAAATCTAGACTAAATAGAATCAGATGATGTCTCATCACTCTTCATGGACACAGTATGATATGATAGTCACGCTCCAGACAGAAGAGAAATGTATCTCAAAGGGAATAAAGTAGTAGTTGATCTGAAGTTGCATAAAGACTTGGGGTGACATAATTGATCTGAAATTGCATAAAGACTTGGGGGAGAACATGATTGAAACCAGACTGCTCGTCCACATAACTGAACTTATCCTACTATATTAGCTGTGAAGAAATCAAGATCTGTCTCTCCAGCCAATTCTACATGAAAGATCATATACAAGATATTCTCCTAGTCAACATGATTGAGACGGGAAGCCCATGCCTCTATCCTTCCTTTTTGTTTGAAAAGGGAAGTAGAAGTCTACATATTTTAATCAATCTATGGAGGAATATCCAGGGCATTCTATGTTACTACTTTATAGTGAGAAGATCTTGACAGGTCTTGTATTTTGACGAAAAATGTAATCAAAGAAACGAAAAGGTATTGAGCCATTCACTATTGAGATAGGCCTTGACTTGAAGTCCTCCAGAACTACATTAGATATGAGAGTTAGTTCATAAATCGGAGAAGGAAGGTGAATTGATTATTGACATGAAAGACACTATAGCAGAGTTACAATGTCGAAAGAAATTTAGAATGTACGTTTTTATAAAGAAAGCATTTTTATGAACTCTGTGAAAACTTTACTTTGGGAGAAAAGGGGTCAGCTACTTTGCTATAATACAAAAATAAAATAAAATACAAAATATTCTCATTATCAAATACTACAAGACATTTATAAACTACTTGTGACTGTTAGGCATCTGATTTGAAAGTAAGACATTAAGTTGTTTCCAGAAAGCTTCTTTACCTGCAAGCCATCAGAACTTTGACTATATTTTGGATTCAAGAATAAGTAAATTACTGCATAAAAAACTGTTTGCCATAGCTTCAAAAACTTCCCGCCAGCCTAGCTATTGAACAAATTTAAAAGAAACCTGAAACTCTTGACTTTTTCGAACATGCTTCTGAAGCCGCTATATCATCATAAATCGATTATTTACCACCATAACTCCTTAAGTGCTTAACTATAATACAGTCCCTATTCATCAGGGAGAGCAGTAAGATTTAAGAAATGCATCACCAAGCAAACCTCTATATTGTGACTTTCATGCTAGACCACTTATTATAAAGGACTTGCTGAGCTTAGGATGGTAAAAGCAAACATGTCAATAGTGAAGGTCTGCTAATCATCTACTTTTGACTTGTCCTTAACTTGGTTGCATATTGGATAGGTTTGCTGAAGCCAACTCATTAAAAGTGAAGGGTACATGTGTCCCTACACTTGCAGGACTATGTCTCTCAGAACACAGAATTCTTGCGATGTTATTGATCTTTTTAAATACAGAAATTGGGTAAAGTATCATCT